ACTGTAATTTAAGATTGTAGACAAATTAACCACTACAACAATGCAATCTATTAAATATGTTACTTCAATTAAGTCCAAATAAAGTCCTTCTGTTATCGCAATCTAAACATTAAAGCAAACGTTGGCATGCAATAAATATAAATATTCTTCCTTGTCCAGGAATTTGTTAGTAAAATCGTAGTGCAAGGAGGTGAAATGATAAACATAATCTGCTCTTCTAAAACGATATATTTGTTTCTCGATACGATTTCAAACAAGCTTCACTCATCACTACATTAACTCTTACGTATAAAAACTGAAAATTGATCGGTCATTTTATAGCTACGAGCAGATTGCGGATCATTCTGCAAAATGTAAATAATAAATTATAAGTTAGTCGCAAGAAACGTAAGTTACATGCAAATGTGTTTCCTCTTTCAATCATTGCGACAAGTTGAAAACAATGTAACAATATTCTCAAAATCTTTCAATGTCTTCACAGTTAGCTGTGTCATTTTTGTTATAAATACGTAAAATCTGGTATCGAATTATGAGATATACTGTAGTGTAAAATCAGTTTCTAGAGCCAGTGTGTACACTAAATTTTTCAGAAATCCGATAAGAAACCAGGTATCTTCTCTGAAATTACCTTCTGCCTTACACCGTAATATCTGTTGTGAAATCGAGGCGGCGGCGGCTCGCGTTGCTCGTGCAGCGTAACACGCAGCAAAAGGGTAGAAAAATCAATCGGCATCGGTTCAGCGGGAAGTGCACGAAACGATCAGAAATCAGATTACCCGCTAGCTCCTGCGAGTTTGCTTCGGGGAAAGGGGGCGAGCTCCTCTCATATCTTCCGACCTTGCGCTAGCAAACCGCGACGCGCCGCGGCGAAGCAATTGTATCGGAGGACTCGCGGAGACAGAGAGTCGAAGAGCAGTGGCTTAAAACGCTTTTAAGCGAATGCTCATTCAATCTTCGCGAAGCTGGTTCTGGCCTTAGTTACTCTCAAAGCCGCATTCTTCGCCGAAGGCCCGGCCACTCGCTGGCTCGAGGAAACAACCATCCCACGATTTTAAGAACAACCGAGGAACGGGCATAAGAAACTTGAAAATATCCACTTTGCGAGTTCCGAGCTCGACGCATCCCTTTCATGCGTTCTTAATGGCCACGGCACAAAGGATGATGCTATGCCGCCGATACCTGTTTGAGGTCGTGTTACCGTCGTCCCGTTTGCGTCTTTTTCAATGTTGCTCTAATGAGATACTAACGGAAGTCAGGGTCAGCGTTTCATGTGTACCAGACGCTCATTGAAACGTTCGCGCTGCTTTCAAAGCGGAATAACTTTCTCGAAGTTCGACCAAATTAATTGGATTTCTTTTTAGACGTTAGGCCAACCAGTTTATTAGACAGCGTTTAAACGAATTTCTGCCGAATTAAAATAATTGAATGGAGTGACAATCAACGTTAAAAAATGATGTGGAAAGTCGTGAGAAATTGCGATTTTCATGATTTTTAATTGTGCGTAACTCGTAACAACGTTTACCGATTTCGACGGAATTTTCGGTGGGCACATAAGTAGACTTTTTGTGCATTTTTGATAATGCGAAATTTGATGATTTTATGATAAAAATGGGTAGGTGAAATGTAAAACAGTGAAAATGTCAGAAAATCGATATTTCATTTTCAACTCACTGAAATTGTTAAAGATGACTGAAATTTTTATTTGACTCAGGTTTGTTTCAACTAATGATTATTTTTATTATGGATAAAAATTCATAATCTAGATACAATTTCCCAATACTTATAAAACGCGTTGTTTGAATTTTCAATTCTAAACTTAGATTTAAAGAATTGAAAATATTATTTTATTATTTTTATTGCCGTTTCAAGCAATTACAATCTTTTTCAACGATTTGTAAACTAGTAAACTAGTCACTCTAATATCAATAGAATTCAAATAATTTTGTCTAATCTTGAAAAATTTATTCTGTTTCAAAAAAACATAGTATTCTCATTTCTTTTGTCAATCCAACTAATTGCGATTTTTACAAAAACTTGTTTAGACATTATATAGTAAAATAGTCCCTCTAACATCTTAATAAAATTTAAATTATTTGGCCCAATTTTGTGAAAGTTATTCCGTTTTTAGAGGCGTCCAAATATTTTAGTCACTGTAAATCGTGAGCATTTGGCTCCATTTCCTTTCTTCCGATTGATAATTATGTGAGAAATGCCCTATTATTACCTAAACGAATTACTGAGGGAGGATCATCTCCAATATCAAAGCTATCATATTTCAATGTCATGGGGATTCCCATTATCGAGAGCAAGAAATGATCGTTTTGACGCGCAATGACCTGTGTAAAAGCAACTTTCTCACTTCGTACGTCGAGAGAGCTTTTAGTTCCGAACGTGCCATATTGATAAAGTTTAGGAAAGTTCATAGAAGAAGTTAAATTAACGAGCTATACTTTTACAATGGAAATTATTTGGCTGTTAAAACAGCAACAGCGATTGTCGCTGCGATTGCGGCGTACGGTGACAAACATTCTACTAATCATTTTCTGCATCGTTTGCAAGAATTAAAAGCCAACGATTTCTTTTTTTTAATCGCCTTAATGTGCGTTATATTTATTAACTGTTTATCGATGCTTTCAAATTCTTATATATGTTTTGCTTTAAACACTTGCTTCTCATGAATACATATAATCTGCAACGAACAATTTTACACTTTAGAGTTTTCAACCCCAAAGTTCACTGTAGCATGTAAACAATTTGAATTTAAAGCGAAATTATAATTAATTAAATTGTGAGGAATGGGAAACTTACTATTTTCGTTGCATTAGAGAACGTATAATTTCACTTTATGTGGCTATAGCACGCTATAACACAGTGTTCTTTTCATATCTCTTGAGAGTTTTCAACCCCAAAGTTCAATGTAGCATGCAAATGATGTGAATTTAAAGCGAAGTTACAATTAATTTAATTGTAAGGTAAACCGAATTGACGATATTCGTTTTATTGGATGCTAAGTTGAAAGCCACCATACGATATTCTGTATTTAAAAAAAAACAAGCTTTCCCAGTCATGTCATTGCTGCGTTTCTAATGACTTCTAAATCGTAGGCAATATTGACGCTAATTACAGCCAATCCAAACGTATCGCGTTACATTTAGCGGAAGTAATTACGAGGATTTATTTGCTTTTGTTACCGAGAATACTAATTCAATCCATTTGTGTCGCGAATAACAAATTACTGCGATATTACTGTCCCAACGGAGTGAGAGCTATGCGCCAGCTATGATATTACCAAAATAGCTGGAATAACATTATACATGGTACGTTGTAATGCAATGCATCGATTTTCGATGGAGACCGGGTTACATTTTATGTACCCGCTTCGTGCGAAGTAAGAATAAAATTCTGTCTACACTTTGCTAAGAGCCATGATGCAAGCGACGACGTTAATAATAAATTGCTCGCGAAAATTACTAGGGACAAACGCCATGCATTATATTTAGAACTGGAATCAAGAAAATGGTATTTCATATCGCACCACGGAAAAATAATATTTCATATCGCGGAGAGTGGTTCAGCAACCCTAATCAAACTGTCGGCCTCCGTCATCCGAAACGTTTATGTAATCCATTCAAATTAAATCTTAAGCTTGTTCACGTCCACGACCCCCTTCGGCTATACAATATTGCAGCATGCACATCATTATCTAGGATTTTATTAACGAAGTTTCTGATAGCACGAAGAATAGTTTCTCTAATGCATTCTTAAATAGAAGAAAGCGGTATCTGAACTTGGTACTTTTAAAATTACTTTGTTAACAGATTAACTTGCTTCTCGCAAATTTTATTTGATATTGACCATACTTTCCGTAACACTGAAAAATGATTGATGATATTGAATGATTGATGACATCTCTTGATCGACGTAGACATTTCAATAAAAATAACGAATGATCGAAATAAATACAGATTTTTGCTTGTTATAAAGAAATACACGTTAGTTACTTCTTCGATTCGGTAGATTTAATGTTAAAATAGAGGGCAGAGGTCTGACACTTTTTAAAATGACACTTCAGATAAGATTCAGCATTCTCTAATGTGAGATCTTGCTCGAGATTCCGTAAAAATTTTCTAAATTATTCCGTTACCCGAACGAAGTTCATCTCCATATTTGCAATTACATTATTAAGTCACAGTGTGCCACAATGAAATTCAGCAAAGGTGGATGATGCATCGACACTGCAATTTCCAGTACTGTCATTCCGAAAGCAATATCCATTCTGCTATTCTCACCTGGTCCTGGTAATTCTAGTGACAATCCTGGCACAGTTGTGTCTATGGCAGCTCTGATCTTTTAAAACCATAAAGCCTGGAACGAAAAACATGTCAATCAAAACTGTACCGAACAAAAATGCGTCTATTGCATTGAAACATGCTCGAATATACTGCAACAAGTTTTCTAGCTCTACACGATTTAGTCTTATTATAATAAGATCCTAAAGATCGCATACTTTTCAACGATTCGATAAAAAGTAGTTGAATACAGCAATTAATGATTAATAACATAGTTTGCTACCAGAAACTACATTAAATACAGCACATAACAAAACTCTTGTTACAATAATAAAATATCAGTAAAAATATATAGCAAACAGTCTCTCTGCAATAGATCTCTAAAAGTTACTTTTTGGTAAATTGTTAGAACATGAGTGTGAAAGCATGAAAGATACTTTCCCTAACGCCATTATAACCATTATTAATAACATGTCTTACCATCGGATACTACATTAAATACAGCATATAACAAAAGCTAGTCCACAATATTCAAATATAATTGAATGCATAGCGATCGATTTTTAGCTTTGCATCATTGGGTCTCTCTGTAATAAATTCCTAAAAGTGGCATGCATTTGGATGATCCGGTAGAATATGAACGCACGAAAGATCCTTTCTACGCCCCGTTGCTCAGCGTAGCAACGACTAATGGAGACAGTTTCTTATCAGGTGCTGCATCACGGGACAACGTTGGTGCACTGGGACACAGAAGGCGGTACAACAAGGACCGCGTTGGTTTACGGTAGAGTGGATCGTGCTTGCGGAACGTTCGTTTGGGAGAAACCAGCTTGGGGCCTCCTGAAAACGGCCCAGGTAGGCGGCACAGCCTCGTCCGGCGACTTCTCGCTGACTGCCAATCCGGAGGACACGGTGCCAGCCGGCCTGCTAGGAAGGTATACGACGCCACAGGCGGATTGCGCTTCCGTCACACTGGAAGAGGGATTTTTAGATCTCAGTTCCGTGAAGGAAGTGATGATCGGATGCTGCGATCGGGACAGAGAGACAGACCTACGAAGCATTTGCAAGAGGTACGGGCTACCGGGCACCGACTCGTGTATCGGCCTCATGTACGGCTCAAGCCTGCCGGACAATCGACTGATGTTTCTGCTATGCCCTCCGGCCCTCAGCAAGTGAGTAGTGCGATCAGCCATTCAATCGTCCCATGGTGCACCGTTTGCCAAACTTATGGACGGAATCCATAGTTCGATTAGCTACACCTTAGACGTTGCAAATAGGGTCGGGGTCTACCGCCCCGCAGTCTGATTTTAGGGTTTCAGACTTTTAATACTTATCACTCCAACCGGCAGTAATGCTGCCAAGGTTTAAGCCAGCGTTCCAGCGTTCTATAAAATTCTTGGAGTGATAAGGGTTAATAGGATAGGAAACTTCGCTTGGAAAACTATCTTTATCGCTTTGCTGATTCAGATAGGTATTTTGGAACTCAATAGTGAAGAAGTTACTTTGGAGCTTCTGATTTTTATGTCGGGACAACTGAAAGGATTTTTGAAAGGTTTGAAAGGTTTTCCTTACAAACTATACTTTGCTGATTTGATCGGGATTCCTTGAACACAATTATTGAAGAAATAGAAATAGAAGTAGAAATTATAGATCTGCAAGGATTCTGATGTTAGAATACCTTAAAGGATTTTTTCTGTCTCCTTGTACACTATAACTTGCACAGTTTGAATTAGAACTTCTGGAACACTACGATTAAAGAGCTACTTCAAATGGAAGTTATTGATCTGTGAGGACTTTTGTGTTAGGATATCTTAAAGAATTTTTCCATTTCCAAAGCTTTCTTGTAAACTATACTTTGCCGATTTAGTTGGAACTCCTGGAACAGAATAGCTGAAGAGGTTCTTTCAATAGAAATTATAGATCTGCGAGAATTTTGTTGTCAGGATATCTTAAGGGATTTTTCCATCTTCAAAGTTCTATTGTTAGATGTGCTTTGCTGAATGACTTAGACCCTTTAAAACTCAATAGTTGAAAAGTTATTCCTTACACGAGTTTGTAATATGTAAGGATTCTGATGTCAGGATACCTTATAGGACTTCTCCCTTGTAAACTATAACTTGCTGATTGAGTTAGAACTCCTGAAACTCTCGATAATTGTAAAGTTATTTATAATAGAAGTTACAGAGAGAGAGAGAGAGAGAGAGAGAGAGAGAGAGAGAGATCTGCGAAGATTTTAATCTCAGGGTAGCTCGAAGTATTGTTTTACATTTTCAAATCTTACTTGGAAACTGTATTTTGTTGATCGAGTCATTTTTATTAGTTTTAGAGTCGTTCCTAACAGATGTCTCTGATTTCTGAGAATTTTGATGTCAGGGTACCCTGAATGATTTTCTTCATCTCCGAAGCTATTTCGTCAACTATACTTTATTGATCGAGTCAGATCTCCTGGAACGCAATAACTAGTTACTTTAGATAGGAGATACAGAACTGTGAAGATCCTGATGTCAGGACACCTTAAAAAATTGTTCCATCTTCGAAGCTCTCTTCTAAACTATAGTTTGCTGATTGAGTTAGAACTCTTGGAACTTAATAATTAAAGAGCTATTCCGAATAAAAGTTTCTGATTTATGAAGATTTTGATGTCAGGATACCGTAAACGACTTTTTCCATCTTCAAAGTTATCTTTTACTACGAAACGAGGCAAAACGAAGTTCCATTAGCAAAATGGCTACGCACCAGTAAGAACAGGAGTCTCATCAAGTGTCTTTACAAAAGTTTGACACACGATGTTTTAAGAGATTAAAATTGCTGTAAACGTGACCTAATCAGGTTTCGCCAAATGTCAGCATCCTGCGAGCTCTCTCGCAGCAATTATGCAAGTGTCCACGACAATAGTGCTCAAGTATTGACAGAGAAAACATTTGCACGTGGTCAGTTTAGAGATACTTAGTGGTACAAGGAACAATCGTCTGTGAATAATCATCGTTCCCTGTTGATAGCAACTAGAGCAATTTCTGCGCGACCCGCATACTGCTGTCAATTATTGATTCATTGTTTGAATAGCGTATAGAGACGTTAACACTATTCAACAATAGTTGTCGAAATCCGAGTCGGTAAGCCGGCTGACAATGCCGGTCGTCCGCATTCTCGTTATCGTTCGATGGTCGATTCAATGGCATCGCGTTCGTCAATCTCGAAAAATGATCCGTGTCGGTCGAATCTAATTACCGATGGTCTCCGGTTGCCACTAGTGACAGAACTTAATTACGTATTCATCAGAAAAACTTCTCGTCGATGAAACGCCATGCCGGTTGGAAAACCAGCCTTTCGATCGTGAAAATCGATATCGCGCAACACCGAAACCGCGTACTAAAAAGGAACACCGTGTAAATGAAGTCATTAGTGGCCACCGGGCACGGAGATCGCCAGAAAAAATAACGCGCGGATCGAGGGACGGGATAATTGGACATGTCCAGCGGAAGTTAAATATTGGGCATGCGAATCATGGACGCCGCGCCGGAGTTACGACAATCAACGGGCGCGTTCCATGTATTTTGACCAGTTAAAATATCTAGAATGAGACCGCCGCAGTCGGAAATTACGGGTACAACATCTGCTAAAATTTTCGAATCCTTGCACCTTTCCTATTGGAAAGCTGTTAAACCTCGTCCGTCCATCGTGTCGATTTGACACGGTGCACGCGGATAATGAAGAAATAATCTGTACTATAGATTGTACAGTACAGATGGAACGCAGTAATCTGTACTATAAATATAATGCTAATATTGGATAAAGCTTGGAACATATCATTTATAAGTTACACTGAAATTAGGAACATAATTTGTAACATTGTGGAAATTATTTTCAACAAAATACAAACGATTTAAATTCCTTTTTAATATTGTTTGGTTTCTAATCATTCATTACAGCTATAATGACACAATTTTATGTAGAAAAAATAATGAAAAAGTAATGTTTAAATATAATATAATGTTTAAGAGTTAGGAGAAATGTACATATATAGTTTTACTCGAAGAATTTATTCGAAAGATTTCTCGAATAAAAGTTTATTCGACGAATTCGTTCGAAATATTGTGCGAAGAATTCGCAACTCTGTACCACACTGTATAAATCCGAAAGAATTATTACTCTGTGCAAATGCGACTGTAATCTAAAACAGAATTAATAGGATCTGAAAGATCCTTCTTCAAGCACCGAGTTCCACGATGAAATAAATAGGAATTGTTTCGATGATTAAGAAGTTTCCAATTTCTCGAATCGGTTTCCAAAACTTCAGTATTACTTGAGGAGGTATAAAATCGTAAGAAAATGCGGAGAAAAGTAGTTGGATTGTTTGAAGTCGTCGAGGCAAGGAGCCCTGTATATCCGTTGATATTCAGCGAAGAGAATACTTCCTCTGGAAGCGCATCTTCGGGGCACATATATTTTTTAAAATATCTCTGAGAAGAATGCGCCGTCGTATTGCCTGTGTAACAAGTCTCTCTCTTTGCAATCCCATTGAGAGATCTTTGGAACGCAGTTTGTCGCAGATTCCGCACGTCTTTCCCTTAAGGAGTTTTGATATAGTATGCTTACTTAGAATACTTGACGAGCGACGATGCGATTCCGGAAGCTTTCACACGGAATGATTAAGGATCACTTGTTGATTCAGTTACAATCTGCATGGGCATCAAACATTTGTAACGCTTGATTCGATAAATGTCGAGGAACTATTTTGATCAATGCAACTCTTTATTACTTAAGAGTCTTTCTCAATTTACTCATTTCTTAAATGCAATTCTCTGTTCGTGTAATGCAATCTTAAATTATTCCATCTTGTTTGGGGGAGTTCACAGAACGCTATTGTACAAGTTGGAAGCACGTAACTATCGCTGTTATTGTCTTCAAAGTTGAAAATTTGCGCTTCTTTTCGAGGACTAAAATGTGTGCTTCCTTCCAAAGTTGAAAATTCGCGATTCTTTTCAAAATTCGTCCAAAGTTGTAAATGTAACAAAAGCTCGAATTTGTAGAACATTGTAATTACATTTTATTTTAAACATATATAATAGTATTTAAGATAAACAAATCGCGAAAAACAAATAAAATAAGCTCGAGGAATTAGATGTAATCACAATAATGAATAGACTGCATGCATCACTAATGAATAGATTTTATGCATTTATGAAAGAAAATGGGAGTAAGTACCATTGAAAACAGAAGAAAAATTTGAAGAATCGAACAATATATCGATAAATTACTTCCAACTTAATAAAATTATTAGAGAAAGAAACAAATTTTTAAACGGTTCCTGTTTCTTGCAACTGATGCACACGATTTCCATTATGCGCATCCGTAATCTCATAACAAGTGTCAGTGATGTCCAGATCATTGATTTTTATAATCAATAAAGATTTTAGATGAGAAAGTAAATTGCACTTTTTTGCTTCAAATAAATTTTGATATATTGAAAATATTCTGAAATTCTTGTAATTTTCTGTAGCTACATTCTTCGTCATAAACGCAATAAAGATTTATAATGACTAGATTGCATATTTTTATGGAAAATAAAAATTGTGTGTACTAATTGCGGGATACGGGTGCTACACAAATAATTATTTCCTTCGTTAAGAATTTTAATCAGTTGACGATAGTGCAGTATTATTTTTAAATTGTTTAAATGTCTTCATTCTTTTCTATTGGAGCAAGTCATTTTTATCATAAATACATTTTAAAAAAGCGAAAAAGAAGAGAAAATAACGCGGAAAAATCTCGTTGTCGGTTTCAGAATTTGGTATATGGGCCTCTGCTGGATCTTACGAGGCCTGAAACGGCAACAACAATTAACGGACCGTAGATCGCGGTGGCTAAAGGAAAAGTACCTCCAGCTTTACTTTGACGAAGGCTGCGTGGAACCCATGACAGCGGATGCCATAAGAGCTTTCGGTGGCCGCGATTGGTCTGCGACTGAAACGATCGGCACATTATCACCAACGAGTAGCACACTGCGGAAACGAAACATTAAGACGAAGAAAACGAAATCCAGTGGCAATATTCATGCATTAACAAAGGTTTGTGCCGTATGCGAATCATGAATTCGCATTCAGAATAATTGGTCTCAGCTTTGCAAGAATATCAATTCGATAGAATCCGTGCGAGAAAGATGTTTGTCTCGAGTCATGAACAATATTAAACATCTATCATTTATACAGAGTGCCCCAGGATTTTTCGTTCACACAATGTTCTGTAATTCTATGATTCTATAATTCAGAGAAATGTTCCGTAACTCTATGATTCTATAATTCAGAGAAATGTTCTGTAATTCTATAATTCTACAATTCAGAAAAACATTCTATAATTTTATAATTCTATGATTCAAAAAAATATCCTGTAATTCTATAATTCTATAGTCCACCGAAATGTTCTAGAGTTCTAAATATATAATATGTCAAATAAATTTTTAATTATAAAATTTGAAAAAGCAAAATTTAATAATGGAACTTGATTTTAAGAATTTATGAAAAAATATCAGTTTAATATTCAGCCACTAAGAATTAATTTAGATTGGATGCTGTTTAATTCGATATCAATCTAAATGAACCTCTTTCAAAAATACAATTTAAAAAATTGTTAACAGTCAGCCCAAGTAGAGCTAATCATTATCATCTGTATATACTATAGTTAAAGACCTTAATTTTCTGAAAATTAATAACTTATTCATTTTTCAATTTTCTTGAAAAGAATGTTTCGTAGGAATAATTGAAGAACAATTAGCCTAAAAAGTTTCTTGTATATCTGTTACAGTTTGATGAATTTTTACACGTTTCCTCATGAAATGCTCACATTTTCTGAATGGTAGAATTACTTGGTACGATTGCATATACAAATGGTAGAGTCGAGGATTATACTGAACGAAAATGTCCGGTTATGTGAAACAGGATTTGAGCCTAAAACAGTATGAGACCTCGTCCTCGGACGGAGGCTTATCAGCTACCCCTCTTCGTCAGATTACGGGCAGCAGAGAAAGCTTGACGAGAATCATACCAGCATCCCCACGGTCTAGCAGAGATCGAATCCTCCCGCGTAGCCCGCCTGGTTCAGCCCAACGAATTATCACTTCTAATTTACCCTACTCCGGATTTCACAGGTAAATATCTCGATCATTCTGCCAGTCGTACTCCTAACTGAGTATCGAACACGTTATTACCTCGGCTCTGCTCTGTCTACGAGAAAGTTCTGTCCACTTTTTAAAATGATGTTGCTGTATTTACAGCTCCAAATACAAGATAAAAATGACGATCACGTTATTCTACTTTTTCTACATCTGTATGGAACGACAACTTAAACAATCTAGTAATTAAATCGTCAGTAATGACTAGACTGTACATCTTTATACAAAATAAAAATTGTCCAAGTTAATTATAAGAAACATAAGTTAGATGAAAATGTCTTCTTTCATTTAATAATTTAATAATTTAATAATTTAATAATTTAATAATTTAATAATTTAATAATTTAATAATTTAATAATTTAATAATTTAATAATTTAATAATTTAATAATTTAATAATTTAATAATTTAATAATTTAATAATTTAATAATTTAATAATTTAATAATTTAATAATTTAATAATTTAATAATTTAATAATTTAATAATTTAATAATTTAATAATTTAATAATTTAATAATTTAATAATTTAATAATTTAATAATTTAATAATTTAATAATTTAATAATTTAATAATTTAATAATTTAATAATTTAATAATTTAATAATTTAATAATTTAATAATTTAATAATTTAATAATTTAATAATTTAATAATTTAATAATTTAATAATTTAATAATTTAATAATTTAATAATTTAATAATTTAATAATTTAATAATTTAATAATTTAATAATTTAATAATTTAATAATTTAATAATTTAATAATTTAATAATTTAATAATTTAATAATTTAATAATTTAATAATTTAATAATTTAATAATTTAATAATTTAATAATTTAATAATTTAATAATTTAATAATTTAATAATTTAATAATTTTCATATTTTTAATATTTTAGTAATTTAATAATTTAATAATTTAATAATATTTAATATTTTTCATATTTTTAATATTTTAGTAATTTAATAATTTAATAAGTTGCAAATAACGTAACAATTTCTAACTAATGTAGTTATTTCTGTATTAAGTGAAATACTTAAATGATTTTACAAATATATAATAAGTCTTTAAAATATATACTTCACAATATGAACCTGAAATACTTAAATAAATATTTTCATTATTGCGCGCGATATTTTTCCTATCTCTGTGACATTAAATAAATCTTGAAATATTCTTTTATGCAAACAGGAGTATTTCATTAACTATGCGAATATCTTTATCCAGGTCTGAATATAACAAGAGATAAGCCAAAAAATGATGAACTCTGTTAAAATTACAATAGCTTGAAAAACCAGCTTTCGAACAGAACTTTCCAGTAGACCTAGCTGCCGATAGGCTCCGTAACTAACGCGACCGGTTTTCAATTGAATCCGCGCAGCCTGTTAGGCGTCGACAGGGACAAAGACAAGAACGGTTCAGGGATGTCGGGTGGCCTGGAAGCACCATGGCAAGTGAAGGCACGCGCAACTTCCATAATGTACGAGACTCAGCTGAACTTCGTCGAGTTCGTCGCACTGTTCCGCTCATTCAGCCTAAGAGCCCGAAAGGATTTGCGCGACCTATTTGGCCAGCTGGCGATCACCTGTCGCAGCCAGAGTGACGGTTCTTTGAGGGACTTCAATATACGGCCACCGGTGCTACGGCAGGCCAGCGATGCGACGCCCCAACGAATCGGTCGGTTTTCATGCTATTTTATCGAGCTTCTACGCGTGTCATTATCGATTGAGGCTTCCGGAAGGAATTTTCTCCCGTTTCGCCAGCATTGCAGGCTAGCTGGCCTGATCAAGGGGCTGAAGACGCACTGACATGTGCTGCCTATGGGTACAGTGTGAGCAGCATGTGGGCCTGCGTAAACGGTCCTGAGGAGCGTCAAGTTCCTGGAACCAATATTGCTCACTTTTGACAAATCTTTAGTTGCGTTAGGTTGCTTGCGTTAGGCCTTTTGCTTCGGGTTGGACAAAATAATTTGACCAGTTCGAATATTTTATTTGCGGAGACGTTTACTGAAGTCAGCAAACACGTTTCCGATTATGTGAAAACATGTCGAAGTAAAACATTTTTTGGTTTCAACGGGCAAATGATTGGACAACGGATCTTTCGATTGTCTACCTCGATTGCAATAAATGGAAGTACATTTGCAGCATTATAAATATTTTAAGCATTAATAAAGGAGTAAAGAAATATATTTCCTGTCTTATTAAAAGTAAGTTGACAATAATAACACAGTATTCTTAAAATCTTCAACTATTTTCATTGTTCTAGGTTCGATCTGTTCATTTTTCTCATAAGTGCATGCCATCCGTCGTCTAATTATTATAATCAAGAATATGTTCCCCTTCGACGTTCTTTCATATTATGAAGAACAATTAAAACGCTCAGGGTTATCAAATTAGTTTTCTCGCCAAGTATATAAACTCTCTAATAAATTAAAAACAGTTAATACTCTTACATCGCCTCTACCACTATAATGGTATTACTGTTGTATAGGGTAAATCCGACTTTGAACAACATGGGGTCTAGCAAAGTCAACAGATGGTCCTGCAAAAGGCCAAGTTTCGATACCAAAACCTACAACCAGAATTTATACACCATAAACATAGCAAATTCACAGATCAGGGAAAACATATCATAATCATTTGTGTTGTTACTTAGAAAGTCTCGTTACACTTTGTTAATTTTCCTGCCATGTAACATCACTGTCTCTAGATCTAAAATAAAATGAGAAGAAGCTACTATTCAAAACTGACTTTGATTCAAATAATAGTAACGCTGGTACCAAAATTGTTCTTTAATTTTAAACAGTCTCTAATATCATTAGATCTCCTGACTTTCCGGTAAATAAAAGATAATAAATAATTTCGTTGCCTCTATCATTGACGTATCAGTGACATATAGAATGCATCAGAGTTGATGCACCATAGGGATACTGCAAGTTACTATGTAGATCAGAGAATACATACTATAAGAAAAAGTGCAAGATGTTTCTTTCGTTGCTCAAAAAGTCTTGTTTCGCCTTATCAATCTCCTAGCTTCGCAATTGCACTGCAACTACATCTGCAACAAAAAGAAGTCTTAAAAAGTAACTGCCCAAAAATTATTTCAATACTCATGCAAACACTGAAAACTTTCTATAACGTTTATTAAAGATTTGCAATTGCTGCGATTAATATTTTCAACTTACACTTTTGCTCTATAAATAATCCATCATTTTCTAACTATTTAAACCATCGAAATTCAAAGCAATTTTGCTACGTTCCAACAAAACATTGGAGAATCTTCCATAATGCAACAATTTCAACTGTAGATTTTAGAACTGCAATTAATTCTTCAGACTTCGTGTAAATTTCAGATAAAAGCCATTTATCTCTGGGAAAAGATAAAATTCGGTGAAAAAAAAATAAAAACATAGAACACCCATATCGAATTCCGGGTGATCCTCAATGATAGCATCAATTCGTCTTTAAACCTCTGATAAAGCTGCCTGCAATGCTGACGTGAAAATCCCTTTTGGGCACGGCCTACAGTGGGAAACCTCAATCAATAACACCAATCCGAGCCACCAGAGCCTGAAATCTCGAATCTTTACGCATGTTCGTATCTTTCGCAAACCCCTTTTTTCCGTTTTAACCTGGCCAAACGCGTTGAAGTCCTTGACATCGGGTCTCGTATCTGGAACAGAGCCTGCGTATCTACGTTTTGTATGGCCTCGAGGTCACCGAAAGATACGAATCCGCGTGAGAGACCCACGGACTGTGGATGGTACTGTAATTGTATAGACCATACGATTTTTTACCTTCTTTGTAGCTAAAAACTCAAGCTGAGTCATTTAAAAGAAAACACAAAATGACATTTATTTAGAAATTTTAGTATTTGTTTGTTTACTCTCAGTATATTTGCATGTCCTGAAGAAATATAGGAACGTCGTCATTTCTTAGAATTTGTTTAATAAGAAATAATAAAAGGGTATGCATAATAATATGTTCAAAGTAATGAGACTGCTATATGATCAGTGGATGTTTCTATATTCGTTTAATCAGTATGTTTAATTATGATATTAAGGAATTGTTCATAAAAATTTCTCGAAGCAAGTACTTGAAAATATGTAATTTTTCCTTCTCATGCTTGCGCATGCGTATTAAAGTTCTCATGTTCATGTTGGAGTGCAATAAAGAAAAATCGTATTTTATCACAAGGAGAAAATTATATTGCTGTTGCAACTTCGTCAAAATACTTTGCAGTCGAAAATTGATAAAAGAATATGTTAAAAAACATGCAACATTTAACTTTTACTACAAACATCGAAATGCTTGAAAATAATCATAATTATTGTTTACCTTGTTGTTGTATCAATGTAAAAAATAATAAAAATTAAAGATAACAAATATTAAAAATTTTCTATCGAAGAGAACATAGATATACTATTTGAGCCAAGAATAATTTCAGTGCAAACAATACATAAAGATACAGATAAAATAGCAATAACAATAAAAGTGGTATGTTAAAGTCGTCGAAGTCAACAGCATCTTCCAAACATCAATTTTTCAGTTCAATTCATAATTCGAATGAACAGCACAGATATTACGCGATGGCTAATGAACGATGGAAAGCAAGATAGAAGCCAAAACAATGGAATGACACGGAGAAAAATTGTTAACAGGTCTGCTGACGCGGAATAACTCTATCGACTGTCACGAGTACAAAACTAGCAGCAACCTGCAGAAGAAGCAAGTTTTCGATGCGGTGGCTGCTGCCAGTATTGTCAATAATTGTTCCGGCGTCGACACATCGAAATCACAAGTCATCACGCTGGCAACGTTCACGAAATTTTTGGAATCGCGACAGCAAGAGAAACTGACGGACGAGCAGATCAAAGAACTCGTCAAGGTATGATTTCGACAGCATCACTCTTTTAAAATCTCGTATCTTATACTGGCCGCGTGAAGTGTCATCGTCAAACTGTATTTATTCTATCCTCGAACAGCCACTCGTCTATAAAATGAAGCTGAATATTTCGTTGATCTCTCGAAATACGATTAAAGAGCTTAAATTAATCGGAAGTGTCTAACTCGGCGCATTCGAGCCGCATCGCGAAATACTTTAAGTGAAAAACTTTCGCGGATGAGTTTGGAAAACGAACCAATCAGTTGCTGTAACGTTGCGATGCGATTTCCGGTGCATCGAGCGAGAAATACGGTTTGCACGGGCACGTTTCTGAACTCCACGAATTTTAGAATAGATTAATAGACCCGTGGATTTTATGCAATTATTGTAACAATGGATTCAGAGCAAATATAAAATATTAAAAACATTTATAAAGAATTTTGAAATAGTTTCGCATTATTTTCAACTCATTAAAATTATTAAAAAAACGAAATTAATATCTTGCTGTTTGTGCTAGCAGTTTTTGATTTTTCGTTTAAAATATCTACTAACTAAAATGTTGATCAAATAAAATCAATAATTTATTTTATAGAACGTAAATTAGAATGTTAAGATGTATCAATATTGATCTTTATGCAGATTCAAATTTTCGTCATTTTGTAAAACTCACAATAAAAATGAGTGAGAATTTATACATTTGATAAAAATCAGAAAGAATTGATCAAAAATTAATTTGTTTTTTATAAAACTCTTCTAATAAATATGAAATGAAAATATTACTAATTTTTGTAAATGTATATCTTGTCTTGTAGCTCTAAAATCTTTAAATACTATAAATACAGAAGGATCTATATATATGTGATTTTTCTTTTTGACTTCTTGCATTTCAACCTTGCATCTTAAAAGTTTCATCCTAATTATAAAATGAATAGGATTAAAGAAATCAACAGCTACTATGCAGATAAGAAGTCTAAGGGATTTTTGGCAAGTTCAACGTAGAGGAAATCTCCACAATTCTTATCAGTTTGATAAGAAAAGTTAGTTAGATGTTAAACTAGTTTTGGAGCAATAATGGCCGAAAGTTATGACTCGATTTCCTAAAAAGTGAGATAAATGCCTTTCACCTGGAGGAAGTTACAGTCGGCCAGAAAATGGTGTGAGAGAACCTTACGAATGTTTCTTTATCTAGCTTTTCCGACTTCTTAGATTTTCTGGATACATGTCGATAGAACATTGCTGTTATGTCTTCTGATTAGGCTACGCTAGCTTGTATCATCGAATTTCAAGACATGCTTGTAAAAATAAATACAATAATAAGAAATATAAAATTATACAAATAATACGAATGACAAATATAATACACATAATGATAAAAATGAAAAAAAATAATACAAGTAATTGTAAACGATAAAAACAATACAAATAATATAAATTAGGAAACTAGTAAAAACGATAAAAACATAAGGATAATTGCAATTGCAAGAACATGGTTGCTGTTATTTATTTCTTTACGTTCTGACGAACTTCGACGCCATTTCGCTGATCGATTTTCTTTGATAAGTCGAATTTTACAAAATCATGAACCATTATCGTCTAAAAAATAATATCACGTGATAAACTTATAAGCAAACTGCAGATTTTATAGATTTACCGTTTTAAGACTATTGATATAATATCTTCACCTCAAAAAATAATTAGAAATGGAACAGCATTTTTTATGGCTCCCGTTTCGTGTGATTGATTAACAATATTTTTAGTTCACATAATCTTTCGCAAAGGATTGAAAATATTTTGGGAACCTACATTTGAGGGAATAATAACGAGGTACTTAGAAATTAGAGACGTGTGTCGGTAACGCGCTGTTACTATTATAACAGAGTTATACAGAATTGTATTTCAATACGCATACGAGGACGACATAGAGGATAGCACAATCAACCAGGACGATTTGCTCTGATTCCAGCGACACGAGCCGGACCCAGCGCTGCGTACACAATGGTGTTTGTCTTTCGAGGGCTTTGCACGGTACATGATGGACAAGGACAATTATGCTTTCCCAAACGAGTACGCGACACCTTCCGAGATTGAAATGCAACAGCCATTGTCCCAGTATTACATCGCCAGCTCGCATAATACTTATTTGACTGGCCATCAGCTCAAGGGAGAATCTTCCGTTCAGCTCTATTCTCAAGTTAGTAAAACTGTTCCGCCAACGTTAATGCATGCAACCTTAATATTTACTTAATACCTGCAAACATACAGGTCATGTAACGAATTGATCAAATAATTACAAATACATAAAATACAATTGTATAATTTTAATGCAATTATTTTAAAATCAATAAATGATGTATTTAACCATAGAACGGCTGAATTACAAAATCGAGCACCCTTTTTTAAGTATGTCTTATGCATACATGAATATATTTCTATATACATTTTCTGAGTAAATAAAAATAAGTGCCTCTAGTAAGTTACAAATGAATGTTTTCAAGTAGTCTAAAATAATAAAATACTTCATAAATTGTTCTCTCGCTTCGCTATTGTGTATCAGCTAAGATATTTTTAGAAAATTGTAACGAATGGCTTTTGTAGCCACTTTCTGATGTCCTATGGTTCAGTGTTTTCCTCAAAGCATTCGTAATTTCATAAATTGTTCTTCGAGTCTGATGCGAGATATTAGCTAAAATATTGTTCCAAAATTGTAACAGGTGGCTTCTGCAGCCACTTCTTAAAGTCCTCGTGCCGGGTAGCTTCAGCAGCCATTCCTTGTTGGAACGTAGTTCACGAATGATGGACGAACCGCGAATCCGAAGCTCTCAGAATTTTTATTTATTATGCAAAGGTGCCGTTTAGCATGCGTTGAAGTAATTCCGGTCGTTCGTGCCGGCAGAAGTATGAACGGCGGAAAGTTTTCCTGTAATGCGGAAACTTCGACAGCAGTTTCCGTGCACGTCGTAGACTGCTGCACCACGTGACAGTAAATTCGTTTCGCAGGTACTGCTGACTGGGTGTCGGTGTGTGGAGCTCGATTGCTGGGACGGCGATGATGGGTCTCCAGTTATTTACCATGGGCACACCTTCACCACCAAGATACCATTTCGCTCAGTCGTAGAAGCAATTGACAGAAGTGCTTTTGTCAGCTCCCCATATCCTGTGATTCTCTCCATCGAGAATCATTGCTCCCAGACTCAACAAGCTCGGATGGCCCAAATCTTTCAAGTACGTTATCGCCCCAGTCAGACTGTCTATATACGTCTCTATCAACTGTGATACTTTGTCGGAAATTCTCGACAATCTTTATTCTAATCCTCATTTGTTATTCATTTGTTGAATGAAAGTATGTTGATGCAGTGGTAAAATCACTATGATGAAAAGATATACCATAAATTGGACATTATTTCCTCAAAGTTTCTTCTTAACTTTTCAATTTGAGCTCAAATGATGCAGTATTAAAAGTTTGTATAACGAAAAGATATGAATAAACTTTGTATATTCCTTCTGAGAAAATTCTTCACTAGTTTGTGCTTTGGCATTAAATTCATGCAATGCTAACAATCAGTATCGTGATAAGATAACTTTGTGCATTTCTTCTTTGGAAGAAGAGTTGAACAGATGCAATACTAGAAGTCAGTGTGACGGCAAGATGAATGAACTTCGTGCATTCTTTCTCTGAAAATGAAAATTGAGACAAGTTAAAATATAAATAAAATAGAACGTAATCAAAATAATGGTTCTCGACAGGTACTTCATAAGATGGGAATTCCAAAATATGTTTACGTTCTTTTTCAGTCGGTTTTCGGTGACAAGCTGGTGACGAAATTCTTGTACGAGTCAGACTTCAGCGACGATCCACAGCTGCCATCGCCGTCGCAGTTGCGACATCGAATATTGATCAAAAATAAAAAATTGGTGGTGGATCCTACCGGTCCTCTGGCACATGCTCCCTTGTCTCATCGTGGAAAGATGGTTATGTCCGATCGTGCATCTTCTATGAAACAGATGCGCACTGACGTAAGCAATGCTGTCGTTGAATATTTCAGCGAGGACGATGACGACGAGGAAGACGATGACGAGGATGACAATATTGACGGTGAGACAAATTATTTTTACGTGCTCCCTGTCGCGTACTTGTACAACTATATTCTCCTGGCTTACGATTTTATAATTCTCCCTTATGCAATTTATTGAACGATCTGTTATCTTTTCAATATTATTATTTCATCAATTTTATTTTTACAAAACCTACTCTCAGTTCCTGTGATAAATTACAATTTTACATAAAAGCATTCTTAAGCACTTTATCAAAAGATTTATTGTCTTTTCAATATTATTACTTATTTCACTCATTCAATCTTCGTATTTATTGTTAATAAATATTGTAGGAAGTCTGATTTCTCTTTGATTGCGTTAAATATGATCTTCTCAGCATTAGTATAATTATTCTACTTATTCTTAAATATTTTATATTTTATTTTAAATATCTTATATTGTATTTATTTATATATTTATATAAATTGACGGATAAAACACAATAGTTCAGAGGAAAATGTGAAACAAAAACAGAGAATTAGAACATGGTTTGCTCAAAAGAAAAGAATATGTTGCAGACTTAGAACGACAGATAGTGTATCAGAAATGTTTATAGGAATTGTGAGCTCAATCGTTTTAACAAAAACTGTGTTTGAGCTTTCTATAATTGCTTCTCCAAAATTACCGTGGAACTTTACATCATTGATCCAAGAAAGTCTGCCGCAATCTTAGGGAGCGTTAAACCCGAGGTTCATAATCTATTTCAAGCCATGGATTAACCTAAATACCAGTACCATAAGATTTCCCATTATTTCATCTGTTTCAATTGTGTCTTATCCCTCGACTCATCGCTACTCAAACATTTAAGACACTCGGAACAGTTGATATTCGATCAGGCTCGCATTAAATTTTTAAGATAAATCATATTAAACGCGAGCAATTCTTCATTAATACTATTTATGAGAAATATGGCTCATTCCCACATGGAAATTTGTTTAAACAAATCTAAGAAACTTATCAAATGCCAACTTTATGACTATATTTATCAATCTCTGAAGAATATACAGAAACGATTGTACGCGGCAAAAAAATAAATGAAATTTACATAATGTACGAATACGAATTTAATACGAAACTTTCACTTGCAGATAATTCAATTTCCAGTTACGAGAGGTACCAAGGCGGGACGCAGGTGCCGCATAGTCGATTAAAATCCGATTCTGCGGTCGACGACAAGTCCCAGAAGCAAAGTAGCCAAATAGCTAAGGAACTCTCGGACTTGGTAATTTACTTGCAAGCCATTAAATTTCGTGGATTAAACACGACGCCGGGAACCACGGCGACTGGAAAAACGCGTCATCAGCCACACACAGGCCCCGTGCAGAGGCATAGTATCGCTGGCATAGTAACCTCCAGCATACCTGGCACTTCCGGTTCGCCACAGTCGCTGTCGACGTCAACTTCGCTTGCCAGCGGTAGCAGCAACATCGACAATCTTTTTAGGTTCGTTGGAATTAGTATGGATTAGAATCAGCAGAATTTAATAACTATTAAAATAAGCAGAATTTAATAAGGATTAAAATTAGCTGAATTTAGTAAAAATTAAAATTATCAGCAATTAATAAGGATTAAAATTATCAGAAGATTAATACGGATTGAAATTATCAGTAATTAGTAAAGATTGAAATTATCAGCTATTAGTAAGGATTAAAATTATCGGCAATTAGTAGAGATTAAAATTATATTCAAATTATTTCAGAACAAACCGTGGGGTTCCTGCCTGTTTCCAATGTTCCTCCTTGAACGAGAGTACAGCCAAGAAAATCTGCAGAAAACAACCATTAGCTGTTTTGGCGCACTCTGAGACCCAGTTGATTCGAACATACCCAGCTGGAATGCGTATCGACTCCACCAACTTCAATCCCGTGATCTTCTGGGCCTTTGGGATTCAAATGGTAGCGCTGAATTATCAAACGGACGACGCTGGATTGAATTTAAACGCTGCTATGTTCGAGCAAACTGGGCAGTGCGGCTACGTCAGGAAACCCTCCGTGATGTGTGATAAGGGACACATGATGTACAGGTACTTACTAACTAGAATTCAATTAGAATCTAGAATACTTTTAAACAAATGTTGAAGCAGCTGGGATAAATAAACTTCATCCAAAGGGCACTATGATTCCTATGATCTTCAAGCGCTGACTACATCTTTCTGAAAAATGCTCCGTTAACTTCAATTACAATCTTAAGAAACCCATCACATTTTTTAAAACAAATTATGAAATCATTTTAGTCAAGAACAGTCTGATCAAATAGTCCGATCAGCAAGTACTGTCTATCTACAAAAATGCTCCGTCAATTTGCAGACGTTTCAACCCCTGGGATAAGGAGTTCGACGGCCTGCACTCGGCACACCTGACCCTGTCAATAGTCTCCGGCCAGTACGTATCCCCAACGAACTTCGTGGCGAGCACCTACGTGGAGATCGAGTTAGTCGGGATACCGAGCGACTGCGCGAAGCACAAGACCAAAGTGATACAGAATAACGCGTTGAATCCCATCTGGAACGAGCGGTTCTGCTTCCAAGTGATGTTCAAGGACCTGGCGTTCCTGCGTTTCGGCATCGTCGAAGCAAGCTCGCACCATCTGATCGCGCAGAAAGTCATCCCCCTGAAGTGCTTGCGGCCCGGGTACAGGCACGTGCGACTCCGATCCTGCAAGAACAAGCCATTAGCCCTGTCCACGCTGTTCATCTATTCGCGCTTGGAAGAGGAGAGCCTGGACTACAATACCTGCTGTCGCGACCACAAGGAGCCATCGAAGCGATCTTTGACAGGGAAGGAACCGGAGAAACTGACCACGGTGGATCCCGGCCTGGGCGGCGTGACCTTGAAGCGGAGGATGTTCTTCCTGAAGGTGTTCCACGTGGTGCCGAACGAGCCGTACACCATTCTAAAAGTCACCCAGGACAGTACGACGCAAGAGGTGATGGTGCAGGCGCTGCAGAAGGCCGGGATACCTGCGGACAGAGTCGACGAGTACATCTTGGTGGAGGAAGTGTCCCGGGGCTGGGAGAAGAAGGAGAAAGAGGAGCTACCTACCCAGAGAGTCCTGGACCCGACGGAGCGCCCGCTTCAAGCGGAAGCTCTGTGGAAAGGTGAGGGTCGATTCTTGTTCAAGAGAGTCGGCGACGACCCGAGCACTAGAGCCTGGCTAGCGTCTATCAGAAGCACGGCAGGTCACCCGAAGCTGGACTCGGACAGGGACACGTCCACGCACATATGGGACGAGACGGACACCTTTTTGGTCTGCATCTACAACGTCTCGCCCGACATTCCGTACGCCATCCTGCGGGTCCGAGTGAGCAGTTCGGCTCAGGACGTCCTGGCACAGGCGTTGGTCAAAGCCAGGCGGATGGAGGACCCGATGAAGTTCGCCCTGGTGGAGGAGCTTGAGTGGGGAGGCACCGGAGCTGTTGGCAGCGGCAATCGGCAGCTGAGGGTCCTGCGGGACGACGAGAACGTGTACAGCACGCAAGCGTTCTGGAAGACGCTCGGCAGATTCATCTTGAGGGAGCGGGAGCAGGTGATTCCTAGGCGTCATTTGCTCCCGGCCACCTTGGACAGGATCAGCAAGGGCTTCGGCGTTGGCAGATCCGTCTCTTTGCCGGGCTCTAGCAAAGAGAAGGCGCCGGTTTCAGAGGCACTCTCCGATCCTACGTCCAGAGGAGCCAGACATCGGCTGCTGACTCCTGGACGCAGGAGAGAGGTGCACTCTGATGGCGAGGACACCCGCGAGTCCGACATCCTGAACGCCGCTCTTCACCTGAAGAAACTCTCGCTGAGGAAGCTAAGGGTCTGGAAGTCATAGTGGCAGTCCCGGGCGACGTCGATTTCATCGATCTTCGCCACTCGGAGGAATGAGTCGTAAGTTCCACCCTAGACCGTTGCATTTCGGAAGACGGAGGCTAACTCTCTCGAACTAGTGAACCCGCTAACTGCGATACACTCGACGCGAATCACGATGATCGCTCTCTCTCTCTCTCTCTCTCTCTCTCTCTCTCTCTTTCACTCTCTCTCTCTCTCTCTTTCTCTCTCTATCTCTCCCCCCCTCTCTCTCTCTCTCTCTCTCTTTCTTTAGATCTCTATCTCTATCACTCTCTATCTTTCGAACAGCCTCGTGTCTACGAGCAGCAGTGATAAAACTGTTGACTAAACAGACGCCTAATCGTACTCGACGGTACTCGAACATGCAGATTGCAGGAAGGCGAACCGGTTTAAACGAGTAGTATGATGGATCCGGACGGAGTTTGATTGGACGTAGTATTTGTAAGGATCCTCGAATATTGAGCTACATTCGAGCGATTGTACTCGCGGGGATTTTATTGGTTTAATTGGGCAACGCTGGATTTCTGGTTAACCCTGCTACGATCCTGTTGGGCTCCATCGCAAGTCCAGGTTCTTTGGGATTTTGGTGATCGGCTGTGGAAAGGGTTCATTAAGGAGTGTTGAATAGGAAATTAATTAGGAACAATGGTGTCTATAACCGTGTCTCTTTTGTCAGTTTTATACAGATTTTCTATAAATAACGCTCGTTGCAATAAATGTAAAGTAGTTACATTGTTTCTCATTGTTTTCGTGTAAGAGGCAAATATTGTACTTAAAAGTATCAATATTTCATTCTTCTATTTAGAGTAGACGTTGGAATGTGTAGAAGTGCAATTTGAAGTACTTATTGTTCTGTTTTATTGATTCGTAGAAGTCTTGCAGCAAGGGACAAACGAAATTGCAAAGTCTGGAGCAAATGAGAATTCATTGACCCGTTTGTATCTGTGAAATAATTTTAATATACCGCAGATACTGTTAGTATGATAGAAAGATCGGGTTTGTATCTGAATGCTTTAAGACGAATTTCGTGAGGCATTTTGTAATTCGTTCGTAAAGTTGTACCATTTATAAAGAAATGTTAAACATTAATACAGTAACCTATAGACAGTAAAAGAAAATGTTTAAAAATCGATAAAACACGACATTAGACAAACTTCAATACGTTGAATCTTATGCTTGATTCATTGTAAGTAGCGGCAAGTAGAAAAATGCTCTATTAATGTCAATTCGTCGGTGAAATTACAAATTTGCTCAAAATTCCAGAATTCTAGAATCTTTGAAAAAGATTCTTCTGAAAAAGAATCTTCGAATCTCTAGAAAATCTTTGTGACTGCCTGTAAGGTCGTCAAATAGAAAAATTGCAAAACGTTAAACGGTTCCGTTCTATGTTTTAGAAAATCGAGGTTTGCACAAAAGTCCGCAACAATATACGTAAAAATGTGAGCATCTACAACTTAGAATAGTCGACACAAGCGTGGATCGATACGTGAAATATATAATCGCATTGTCGNTTTCTCTCTCTATCTCTCCCCCCCTCTCTCTCTCTCTCTCTCTCTTTCTTTAGATCTCTATCTCTATCACTCTCTATCTTTCGAACAGCCTCGTGTCTACGAGCAGCAGTGATAAAACTGTTGACTAAACAGACGCCTAATCGTACTCGACGGTACTCGAACATGCAGATTGCAGGAAGGCGAACCGGTTTAAACGAGTAGTATGATGGATCCGGACGGAGTTTGATTGGACGTAGTATTTGTAAGGATCCTCGAATATTGAGCTACATTCGAGCGATTGTACTCGCGGGGATTTTATTGGTTTAATTGGGCAACGCTGGATTTCTGGTTAACCCTGCTACGATCCTGTTGGGCTCCATCGCAAGTCCAGGTTCTTTGGGATTTTGGTGATCGGCTGTGGAAAGGGTTCATTAAGGAGTGTTGAATAGGAAATTAATTAGGAACAATGGTGTCTATAACCGTGTCTCTTTTGTCAGTTTTATACAGATTTTCTATAAATAACGCTCGTTGCAATAAATGTAAAGTAGTTACATTGTTTCTCATTGTTTTCGTGTAAGAGGCAAATATTGTACTTAAAAGTATCAATATTTCATTCTTCTATTTAGAGTAGACGTTGGAATGTGTAGAAGTGCAATTTGAAGTACTTATTGTTCTGTTTTATTGATTCGTAGAAGTCTTGCAGCAAGGGACAAACGAAATTGCAAAGTCTGGAGCAAATGAGAATTCATTGACCCGTTTGTATCTGTGAAATAATTTTAATATACCGCAGATACTGTTAGTATGATAGAAAGATCGGGTTTGTATCTGAATGCTTTAAGACGAATTTCGTGAGGCATTTTGTAATTCGTTCGTAAAGTTGTACCATTTATAAAGAAATGTTAAACATTAATACAGTAACCTATAGACAGTAAAAGAAAATGTTTAAAAATCGATAAAACACGACATTAGACAAACTTCAATACGTTGAATCTTATGCTTGATTCATTGTAAGTAGCGGCAAGTAGAAAAATGCTCTATTAATGTCAATTCGTCGGTGAAATTACAAATTTGCTCAAAATTCCAGAATTCTAGAATCTTTGAAAAAGATTCTTCTGAAAAAGAATCTTCGAATCTCTAGAAAATCTTTGTGACTGCCTGTAAGGTCGTCAAATAGAAAAATTGCAAAACGTTAAACGGTTCCGTTCTATGTTTTAGAAAATCGAGGTTTGCACAAAAGTCCGCAACAATATACGTAAAAATGTGAGCATCTACAACTTAGAATAGTCGACACAAGCGTGGATCGATACGTGAAATATATAATCGCATTGTCGATCGTAGCAGGGTTAAACGACCGCACAAGCGTCTCCGTACAAAATCGGCATAATTTCGATTGTTTAGTCGCGGCCGACAAGCGAGTTCGGCAACACAGCAAGCGTCGCCGTCACATTAAATTCTGTAACCGACACAGTTTTTTCTAGTCATTTTAACGAACGACGATCTCCGCGAAAATTTAGTTCCTCCGAGAAGAAATAGGGCTACCGAATTCGGCGCTTCCCAAGCATCTCCCGAATAAATACTCAGATGTGTACATTTTAAATCGCAGCAATTCAGTTTCAATCGATTAGTTCGTTGGGTTTCTAGATCGACATAATCCTGTTTTCCATATTTTTGTATACGCGTGTACATATTTTTAATCTAAACTATATATTTTAATATGTGTATATATATTTACATTTAACGGATACATTGTACTTAAACTATACCAAAAGCAACAAAAAAATGAAAAGAAAAGAAAAGAAATGGAAAGAAAGAGAAACAGAAATTCTATATCGCCGTGGCATCGCGAACGAGGCTTCGTTGAATAAAGAGGAGTAACATACTAGTCTAAAGTTCATTTCGATGGCGGAGCCATTATATCAATTTCCAATGTCGATGTAACTTACACCGGGACCTGATTCTTTTTTATAAGCATTTACTTACCCCCTCGAGTTATTAACGCTTGCACTTTGAGTACCTGACTCATCCGTGGACGTTCTCTTTTATTCAGTCGGCGTTTTCTAGTATCTGTACTTACTTGCATAGTCATCATGCAGTTTACTTGATCTTCGAGCAAACCGATTTACACTCCGAACCGTCAAGAAATCAAGAAATGGAAATTTTTTGAAGATTTTCAGTTGCAAATATCTCCGCACTCTATTTCATTCGATTTGATTTCAGAAAATTAATATGTTCACAAATATATAAAAAAATTCTTTATTTTTCAAAAAACTAAATGATCTTCGTTCGTCCGCATTTATATGTTCTAACGGATTATTAAACATTTTCGAACCCTATGCTTGATACTTGATCATCTTCTTTCACAGACAATAACTATAACCTCTGTTCTCATCTACTGTACAATTACAAAGATGTGTTGTTCTCCTAAAAATGTTTTCGTGACAAAAAGTAGACTGCACGATTCTCCGTTGATTTTTTCAAAGATAATAAAGAACGAGAAAAAAGTAACACGGTTTCGACAACACACAAATGACGGAACACACTACTCTTCCATACTTTAATTTTCTCGCATCAAAATGATTTTCTATGATACCTGATCGATACCTGATCGGTTAGACCTCCCTTCCGGCGCGTAGAGAGGAAGCCAAAGGCAGAATTATCGCGTCTAGGTAAACAATAAAGAAAACCGAGATCGAGCAACGATCCGTGGTTCGATCGCGAACGATTCGAACGGCAACCGAAGACGTCTAGTCAAGCTCTATCATCGATATATCGAACCGAGATGTATCCAATGATTTCGTAGGTGCGACTCAAAGTAGAACAAAGTTCTCAGAGGCAAGTGAACTAGTTACAGTCTTTGCTACATAAATGAGAGAAAAACGAAAAAGAGAAGAGGAACGAAAAACAGTATTATTTCCATGCCGCCGGCACACGGTCGCGCATAGAACGATCATGCTAGTCAAGGGAACCGCTCTCGTTCGCTCACGATAAAAATGGTGGTCGCAATCAAGAGTGTCACACGATCATTTAACCGCTCAAGATCGTCGATGAGCTACCTTCGCTGTATTCGTCGTTTGAGTAGCCCGCCAATTCTACCGTTCTAATTGTAAGTAGCGATCATTATGCCTGGATGCGAGTCGAGGCCGAGGGTGAGCTGTTTTCTTGAGCGGTTACGTGAGTTTCTATCCTAAACGTTCGCGCGGCATAGTCTTCGCCAGTAGCCCGGAGACTACTATGAATTTTGTCGATCCCCAGCTAATGGCCAATAGCATAGTGAAGAAAAGTTAAACGATAGTCGACGACGTTCTTATTCACCACGGAGATCTGTTTTCGCATTATTTCATTGTTACGAGAATGCAGTGCGGGCAATGTTTGTACATATTCACATCGTCTTCTCTGTTACTATTATATACATAATAGATATTATATCATATTATATTATATCATATATATTATATATTATATCATATTATATTATATCATATATATTATATAATATATACATATTATATATTATATTATATATTACATATATATTATATATTATATTATATAGTACATATATATCATATATTATGTATTATATATGTATTATATACATATATACACCCAAATATGCGATTGACGAGAGTTCTTAATGCGCGTGGAGTCTTGCTACTTACGAGGAAACGTTTGACGCTTGTGTGAACTACTTCTGCAGTGATTAACACCCCACCCACACCGCAGGTGTTACAGGTGCTGAGATGAGTGCAGTGAACTGCACTGTTCAGTATTTTGTGAAAAGGTCGATTTTATTTTGCTGCTTCGTAGAACTTTTTCCTTGTGATGAATTTTTATGAATCTTGTGACTTATAGTTGTTCGAGGCTATCTATTATCTTTAACGAGGATTATAGAATTCTAGTCGATATAAAAATCGAATATATTTTGTCTCCTTACGGGACGCTTTTTATTATTTCCTTGTGATCAACTTTTACGAGTTTTGTGTTAGTTAAACGATACTTTTTCTGATATTTAAGTACGATTTTAAGTTATATATATCCTTATATAAGTTATA